AAAAAAAAAAAAAAAAAAGAAAATGATCGAGCTAGAGACAAAATAAGTCAGTGCACGAGCCAGAGACAAATAGGGTGAAAATTATTTATTAAAATAGGTGTAGAGGTAGAAATTTTATTTTGGCCCTACACTTTTCAGAATTATACAATTAGTTTTTTTTTTTTTTTCACTATTTAATTATTATATATTATTATGTTCTAATAATAATTTCTATTATTTAATTTTTAGGATATCTCTTCACCTACCAAAGTGATTTTAAAATAGGAAAAATAAACTTTTTCTTTTTTAACACGTGTCTCCTCATTATTTAAAAATAGATATTATTAATAATGTCAGTTGTAATATGATATGCATTAAATTTATTATAAGTAATTAAACCATTGATTGGCTTCCATCAAACGTTTCTTATAATATTAATAGAAACATATCGTCCTATATAGTTTGATAATAATCAATTTATAATATTAAATTATGGAGTTCACGTTGATAAAAACTCCGTCAATTCTCGTATTGAATGTTAATTAAAATTTATATCTTATAAAATTCTAAAATTTTAATTTCATTTCATTTCATTTAAATTAATAAAGTTTCTAAAATGTAAATTAAATAATGACCAGTTAGTTTTCAATGAAACAACGAAGGTTAAAGAGTAGGTAAGGTTAGAATCGTAATTATGAATTTATGAAGTTCGCAAGCCGAACAATTCTCCTTTGCTTAAATCGATTGTTAATTGAGCGGCAAAAGATGGCGCCAATAGTGAGAGGGGGAGAGAGAGAGCGATTTGACTACTCCTCGAAAATCTCAATCTTCCGGTCGTTAAGCGGCTGAACTGGCCGGACGTTGTTCTTGTAGACCGGAGCCAATGGCAACTTTAGTGCTTCTATCTGCTCCTTCGAAATCGTCTTTGCCTGCGAGGTAATATTTACAATGTTATAAGCCGTAAACTAGCTGCGTTCTTGTTCTGGTGTGTGAGGAGTTTGAGTAATCGAGTTTAGATCTGGATTTACCGTGCCGAGAATGCTCCACATGACGTTCTCGGTGCAGGGAGGAGTGGTGAGAGAGCCGGTGTATCTGTAATATTTGTTCTTCCTCACGAGCTTTGGTTCTAGGTCTCCGAGTGCAACGTAAACCTCTTCGTTGGTGCCGGTTCCATTCGCTAACGCCGCCAATTTGTCTTGTACCTGCAATTTCGCCGGGCGATTTTACGGTGCCGTGATTGTGATTTTGTAAATTTGTATTTAGTTTTTTTTTTTTCCTTTTGTAAATGTGTGTTCTGCGAGGATGAAATTGAGTTATTGATAGATGTACCTGATTGAGCAGGGGATCGGGATCGCCGTATTGGAGGAGGATTCCTATGACTGAGAGGCTGCCGTCGTCTGCTTGATGGAGTAGATGAAGTTCGGCTGCAAATCTGTTCGAATTGGAAAGTTCGGAGGTCAGTTGAAATCCAAAACTCCAAAAAAATTATCTAACGGATGAATTTGCTTATATTCATGAGGAAATTCATTGATTCAACTCTGCTCGCTTAACTAATTGTAAGGTTTTAACCTCAGTTTTAGTCTCTAATGTATTCACATTTTAAAACTATTGTTTAAGATTTCCGTGTGTCCAAACATGAAAATCAAATAATAATCTAATAAAAAAATTAGGAATCATCTGAGAATTATCTAAAAGATGAGGGAGTTGGATATTTAGTCCAGAATTTATTTTCAAATCTGTTGCAAGTTTGAGGAAAAAAAAAAATCTAGGTTGGGCAGTCTGATAACTTGGTGGGCTTGGGCCTATAATGGGCCAGCCCAAAGAGAGAAAAGAGGAGAGAGAGAGAGAGAGAGAAAGATGGGTAAACTCACTGCTGGCCGTTGAGGCGGTGCTCCGATGGAGAATGCCAATGCATTTGTTGGAGGGTGTAGCTTTTACCATTTATGACAGCCATTCCACCTGAACCATTCTCAAAACGCACCTAACATTTGTTTCTGAATTTTAGTTTTTTTTTAAAAAAAGAGAAAAAGAAGCATGAAACCTTCTGGTACTTGAAAAACTAGAGAGCTAAAATGTTTAAATAGGTTAAGAAAGGGCAAACCCCAATGTTAAATCCATTGTTGATGAGTGTAGCATTAGCAGCGGTATATCTTTTGACTAGTGTCTGATGATAATTGCTAGTCGCAGTGAGGTTCGTCACAATGTCTATTGGCGACTGCGATTTTCCATTGGAGCAAGCTGCATAACTTGGACACAGACTTCCCCAATTTTCAGGTCCTTGCGGGCCCATATAAGTAAATGGAGTGGATTGATCTGTCCACCCCAAAAAAAAGAAGGGGAAAAAAAATACAGTTTAGAAGAACCATTTCTGGAATAAAAGGATAGAAATTCCTTCCTTCTGAACCCATTTCCCCAGAAAAACAAACAAACAAACAAACCCATAGTGTTTTCTTTTTCTAGAACAGTTGAAGAGAAGAGAAAATGAAATGGAAAAATTGAGGCTTACGTTCATCGGCTTGCACGAAAACAACAATAAGCAAAAGAGAGAACACAAAAAAAGAGAGGAGAGGGGCCATTGGTGCCAACTCTTAGTGCGGCCTCTCTCCCTCTGACAATAGACAAATACAGTGGTGTTTATATGCATAACAAATTCACCTTTATAAGGCGAATTATGGGGCCATCATGTGGTGGCGGTAATACCTCCTTCTCTCTCTTCCTCATAGAGAATGAGAGAGACAACGAAGGGTGCCTAAATTTAGAGAAACTTCTTAAAAAACCTTAAAATTTAAGTGGCTTGTTTTTTGAGCGAATATTTTGGTCACCTTGGCTTTACATGTTTTTTGTAGTTTCTTATGTTCTGTAATTACTTTATTCACCCTCTATTGCGTCTTTGTTTTTAGCCTAATGAAAGTTTTCAGTCCACAAGTTTATTTCTTACTTACTCTCTGTTAAAAGAATGGGAATGATTAAAGATTTGTGATTCCATTTCACATGTCACATGTCAAAGCTTGGAGTTTGGTATATAAATTTTGTGCCTAAGACCCCCTAGATGCATTACCTTCACCGGACATTCAAGGGTTTAAATTTTGATGCTATTATGATGATGGTGGTGGAAGAAAAAACCAAAATGAAAACAAATATATGAACCTTTATCTTAAAAAATCTTTGACTCATTATGTTATCAATTGCGTTATAATTAGGATTGAATTCTATGATTGAATTGCCATTATTTTGGATTTGTTATATCATTATGTTATCAATTGCCTTATATATAATTAGGGTAGGATTTTATGATTGAACTGCCATTATTGTGGATTGGCCATACCATTTTGAGGTTGAGCTTGAGGGCTTTTAAACTCATAGATTAGGGTTGGATTTTGGAGTTTTGATGGGTAGGATTATTCATTTTCTGAATAGAAATTAGAATTCATGTTTTTTTTAGTAGGCGTTGACATGTTTGCAATGTATTGGCTTATGCGTTTCTATATTTGTAATCTTTTAGTGATTTTTTTAAAATTAGTATTAGGTTAATTTTCTTTATTTAAGTTTACAGTTAGGTTAATTAAGTACCATGAAAAATAATTTATAATTTTGGTACAAAGGAATTCATCTTTTTAATATGATTATTAGTCTTCAAAGATGACATTAATTTATTAATACTAAAAAAAAAAAAGGGGAAAAGGAATGACTTCCTTTCCCTTTCACTTTGAGAAACTTTATGCTTAATGATTTAATGTTTAAAAATGACCGAAAAAAGAATTTAAAAGTTAATTAGGTTTTTCCTTTGATTTAATGTTTTACATCAAAGAATGGTGTTCATGTGTAATTGTGTAATTGTTGCATTGCATTATTGTTTGTGGAGCCTCTTTTACTGGATTTTATCTAGAAATATATTTTTTTTCCTCATTTGTTATCATCCATCAATACTAAAAAGCATACACCATTATTTCTCCTTCTTTTATTACAAACCAAATTTGTTTTCGATCATTTTTTTTTTTTACAATTCTCAAGTTTCTTTCTGCATTTCGGAAAAGAAATCATAATTCTTAGTATTATTGTTATCTATTAATCAAGCCTCATGGTTATGATTTTCAAGAAATAACTTGCAGAAAATACTTCTTTTTGTATCATTGTTTTTGGAACCTTCTTGAAATCTAAGAATAATTCTTTGAAGCGATACTCTCCTTTTGTTTTTGTTTTACATAACATAAATATTTTAGTTTTCTAATTACTATATGTTTGATTACATTTTTTTCAAACCAAATTTCAGTTTCTTGTTTTTCATTCTCATTTTTAGTTATCCAAAAGTATCGAGAAGAGCATTATGTTATCAATTTTACTTGCAAAATTCATTATATATATATATATATATATATTAAAATATGTTGTCTCAAAACATTATTAGAGAGAGAGAGAGAGAGAGCGCTTCAAGCCTTCAGCACAACCGTAGGTTGAAGTACAATGAATAATAGGGAGTATCCTCTCAAAACGTAAAGAATGGAAAATCACTACTAAAAAGAGGAAATAAAAGAAGAAACCTCAACAACTCAACAGCCCAGAGATAGAAAGCATCCAAGAAGAAGAATGAGAGAAAGAACAAAAAGAAAAAGAAAAAAAAAAAAAAAAAAAAAAAAAAAAAAAAGAGGAAAAACTTGATAATTTCTATGATCCAATTCCTTCCATTTGTCCAGGGTTTACTGGTTAGGGACAAATGTGGACGCAAAATTTTCAAAACTTCAGCAAACAATCAATTTCTCCCTTTTGAGATTAGTCAGAACTGCCTTTCATGGCCACCCCAAACCCACAACAGCCAACCAGAAGATATCTATAATAAACTAAAGCCACCCAAAGGGCATCATCAGAAGGCACCCCCACAAGAGATTAAGAAGTTAAAAATCATATTCAAGAGCAATTGCCTGCTGCTTTATCTTTCATTACAGATGAGTGATGAGATGCCCTGCTTTTCCTTTTGAAAATAAAACTGATCTTCCTCTCCAAATTTAAACCTCAAAGACCAAACAAGTCATTTATGGAACTCGAAAGATAAAAAAGAAATTAAATTCAAATCTCAAAAACCAAAATTATTGGCTTTGAAAACTCAAAAGAAATTATAGAGCCAAAAAATATAAACAACCATTGTTGCAAAATAATTGATGGATTTTCTTTAAAAAAAAAAAACCACAAACAAAATGTATGAAACACTAAACAGACCTTAAAATGGTTCATAAGACAGAAAGTTGAATGCTACCTTAATATAAACAACCAGCATGCATATGAACATTTAGACAATATCATTGACGGATATTGTTGCAAAATGCTACAGAAAGTTGCAAAATCATTGACGGATTTTCTTCTATCAGCATGCATATGAAATATTTAGAAAATATTCAACCTGGTTTTCAGTTTTTATCGCAAGCAATCACGAGATGAATGAGTTTAAGTTGGAGATCTTAAGCAAATAGGGCGAAAACTATACATGTGAATATGAACAGTAACAGTCGACATAGAAAACAGAGTATTCAGCATGATCTCGAGTGAGGAAATATCAAAGAATATTCACCTACAAGTGAACTTGAAAGTTCGGGATTCATATGGCTGATCTCAAGAAGGCCTCAATGAACAGTCTTAATGTGAAGTGGGGTGGAAGAATTCCATTAGAGTTATACAGACTCTACCTGTCCAGCCACAAAAATTGGTGAGAAAATGACACATTGGATGGATCATTCATATGCCAAACTTTGAAACTTCTAGTGCATAGATTCTGCCGGAGAAATCTTTTGAAAGTGATTTCCCAATTTGTTAATAAAAAGAAGGAAAAAAAGAAAATAAAGAAAGAAAGAGAAAATACTTCATAATAAAATAACAAAGTCTTATTAATAGAATGTTTTTGAAATTGGATTTGGAGCAGTATAAAATTAGTATGTATGTTTTAATACTATCTTGAATGTTACGAATTTGTTAGACTTTTTTAAGTTCAATGATTTAGAGACTAAACTTGTAATTTACCCAAAAACTAAACTTGTAATTTATCCAAAAATCTAATATCATATAAATATTGGAAACTCAAAAATAATGTGTTCACGCCTTCACGGTGGAAGAACGGGAGAATAAGAAATAGACCTGGAAAATGGCTCGCAAGCATGGATTTCTAAAGAGCGTAAGTTGCTTGAAGATACTCCACAATTTCAGCACTTTCAAACATACGCACCCCAGTGTTGGGGTCATCCAAGTATGGAACCTATCAGCCATTTGGTTCAAAATATCATTATTATCTTTGCTTGTTGGAGAACACTCAAAACATGACTAAGAAGTACCTGAAAGTGTCCTGCTTTCTCGTACAACTCTTGTCGTTTCGGGCTCCCACGAGCGCAACTGAATTAAATAAAACAGGAGAAGTAAACATCACAAAATATTGATGTACTTAGCTTTACTAAAGCATTCATTTTAAGAGACTTTACTTATGTACTAAATGCGGTAACTCCAACTCTACAAGTACTTCACGAACAAGTTTGCAAAAAGGAGAACCCTGACAGAGAAGAGAAGCATCGAGATTCAAATATAATGAACTTATAGCATTAAATTTTCAAATAAGTCTCTGATTAAATGACCTCATATGCCCATATTTCTAGTGGGGCAGGTGGTAGCTTTGATGGCTTATAGATAGAGCCCTGCAATTAACGGAAGCAAGGTTATTTACAAAATTACCAAGTCTCATAAATTGAAGAGGTAAGCATTTGGAAATATACCCTGCCCATACGACCAATCATAGCAAAGCCTTCTGTCAGCGTCTGCAACAAGAAGCTAAGTAAAATATAGCACAATGAAGAAACTTATTACCTTACCTCATTACAATTTTTTTTTCTACAGGTCAATAAACACTAACAAAGAAAAAAAATGGAGTGAACTACGGACCGTCAAAAGTCCAAGAGAGAGAGAAAGAGGTACATTTCCATCGCCTACATGAACAAAAATCATTATTAAAAACTAGAATGAAGAAAATTTGATAGGGTATGTTTTGATCACTAAAACTGCTCTAATGGTTAAATGATGAAAATTAAAAGCTTTAGGAGTGTAATGCTCAAGCATCGAAGCAAAAAAAGTATCATTTCCTACTTCAGCATTGATATGATGGCAAAAAGTTCTAAAATTATGAAAAAGAGATTCAGCCTATTAGGAATAACGACTCTCCACAATGGTATGATATTTCCACTTTGAGCATAAGTTCTCATGGCTTTTCTTTGGGCTTCCCCAAAAGGCCTCGTACCAATAGAGATATATTCCTTATTTATAAGCCCGTGACCATTCCCAATGTAGGACTTTCTCCCAACAATCCTCAACACAGTCTTCTCCTTCTCCTTTAGGAACAATCAACGTTTAATGAACAAAGAAAAAATAATAATCTATTGTCTAAGATATAATTAGGGGAAAAATGGATTAAATTGATTGTATCAATTGTGAAAAGTCCTCACCATAGTTTTGAACCAGATACTTGATTATGTCATCTGATTCATACATTGAAACTCCTGTGTTAGGATCAACCTGCAATCAATTTTTCAGTAGTGGAATAATTGAGCTTCCATGCATTATCAACTATTTTGAATGAAAATTCAAATTTTGATTTGCTCCAAATAATGAATGAAATGGAAAAATGATAGTTTCAAACCATATATGGAAATTGCTGCTTTCCTCCCATCTGAAGAACTTTGGGACGGAAGTTTGGACCATTCCGAGGGCATGGATAGAATAGAATATCAAGATCTAATATAGCAACAATTTCCCTGACCTGCGAACACCCAAAAAAAAAAAAAAAAAAAAATTCA